TCATCCACACTCCCAACCTTCTACCAGTTTGTCACATGCACCACCGGAAACAATAAAATCTTGGACCTGCTGTATGCAAATGTTAAAGATGCGTACAGCTCCACTGCCCTGCCACCACTGGGCAGGTCAGACCACAACCTAGTCTGCATAGACAACACCATCCCCACTAAAAAGGTCCGCTGTTACCCAAACAACGAACTGTGGGTAACTAGCGACCTGCAGGCTCTTCTCAACGAGAAGAAGAGAGCCTTTAGATCAGGGGACCGAGCAGAACTCAAACGGGTACAAAGAGAGCTCAAACGCAGCATCAGTGAGAGCAAGGACAACTACAGGAGAAAACTGGAAGACAAACTGGAAGACAGCAACTCCAGGGAAGTGTGGAGTGGGATGAAAGAGATCACCGGCTTTCAGAGAGGAGGGGGGCAGCTGGGGGGAACGAACAACGAGCCAACGAGTTGAACCAGTTCTTCAATAGGTTCAACTCTAACTCCCCCCCCCCCCCACCACCTCCTGCCCCCACACCACCCTCATCATCCCCATCCCCCACCCCCCTGCTGACATCCACCATGCACTCGTTCACACCTCCTACCCCCAGGACATCCTCACATCTCCCACATCTCCCACAGCCCACTGTCACCTCCTGCAGCAGACACCTCTCTGCATCGCCTTTGTCATCCCCACCCCCAAACCTACTGCTGACACCCATCGCAGACCCTGCCACATACCCCACCCCCCAATCTGGACTTCACTTCACATCCAGCCAGGTGAGGAGAGAGCTGGAGAGGCTCAAACAGAGGAAAGCTGCTGGACCGGACCGCATCAGCCCTCGTGTGCTGAAGGCATGTTAAAGATTAAAGAACTGTGTGTCTGACCGTCTGATTAGTAACATTGGGGCCCCTCAGGGAACTGTACTGTCTCCCTTCCTCTTCACCACCTACACTGCAGACTTTAAGTACAGCAGTGAGTCGTGTCAACTGCAGAAATTCTCTGATGGCACGGCTATTGTGGGGTGTGTTGAGGGTGGGAGGGAGGCTGAGTACAGGGACCTGGTTGACCGCGTTGTGAAGTGGTGTGGGGAGAACCACCTGCAGCTGAACGTGGCAAAAACAAAGGAGATGGTGGTGGATTTTAGGAGGAACAAGCCCCTGCCCTCTTCTGTCAGCATCGGCGGGACCGATGTGGATATGGTGTCGGCGTATAAGTACTTGGGTGTCACACTAGACAATAAATTGGACTGGTCCACAAATACAGAGGCTATCTACAAGAAGGGCCTGAGCCGGCTTTACTTCCTGAGGAGGCTCAGGTCCTTCAATGTCTGCAACAGGATGTTGCAAATGTTCTATCAGTCTGTTGTGGCGAGCACCATCTTCTTTGCTGCGGTGTCCTGGGGTGCGGGCATCAAGGCAAGGACGCCAACAGACTGAATAAACTCATCAAAAAGGCTGAATCTGTTGTTGGCTTGAAACTTGTCACCCTGGAGGAGGTGGTGGAGGAGAGGATGCTGGCAAAACTGCTGGCAATCATGGACAATCCCTCCCACCCCCTCCACACAAGACTGGACAAGCTAAAGAGCAGCTTTAGCAACAGACTCATTCAACCACGCTGCTCTAAGGAACGATACAGAAAATCGTTCCTCCCCACTGTTATAAGACTGTATAACTCATCTTCCTCTGTCAGAGCCACAATCACAGAACTGGACTAAATCTACCTGTGGAACATATACTATCATATGTGATATGTGTTATTGTTATTATTGTGTGATATTAACCATGTTGATATTATATATCATATTTATAAAATATATTATTATTATATTAATAATATTATATAATTACTACTACTACTACTATTATTATTATTAAATGTCATATATTACAATTATTATTATTATATAACAATATATAAGACATTATCTATTGTATGTATATCTTCTTGTATAGTCAAGTACCTACGATACATATGCTATATATCATATCATATCTTGTGTATATATATATATATGTACATATATATATTGTGTATATATATTACAGTATGTATGTATGCACACCTTGCACAGGCTGAAATATGACACGTTTACATCATATCAATATTAATGTATAATATCTATGTGTATACATGTATATCTGTTCAGTCATCATATTATATATATACATATTATTATTATATTATTATACATAGTATTAATATTATCATTATATACTGTTATTATTATATACTGTTATTAACAATAACATTACCATCATGTCATCAGTACTATTACCACTATCTTGCAACTACAACTACAACTCTTTGCACCTTACCTACCTATTTATCTTTTTTTAATCTTTTCTAAGTGTTTTATTCTATTACTGTATTTTATTCTGTTATTGTATTTTATTCTATTTTAATGTACCTGGCTGCTATGACGACCCAATTTCCCTTCTGGGGATTAATAAAGTCTATCTATCCGAGTGTCCAATACATCAGGTCTGATAATATGCTGATACGATAACAAAATAGATCATAGACCCTTGGCCTAAGGTGCTCTGGTACCACGTACACTTATGAGCATCCCTATGTACGAACATGGTGTTCATTATCCATGACTAGCACAGAAGTCCAGTAACAAAACACTGCTCTGGTTCAAATCGGGGAGGCCGTTACCCCCAATCACGCCCCTCCAAGTATCTCCATCATTGCCCACATGTGCGTTGAAGTCTCCCAGGAGAACGATGGAGTCCCCTACTGGAGCCCTATACAGGACTTCATTCAGGGTCTCCAAGAAGGCCGAATATTCCGCACACAAACAACAGTCATAGTTCCTCCCCACAGATCGTAGGCGTAGGGAGGCGACCCTCTCGTCCACCGGGGTGAACTCCAACGTAGCGGCGCTCAGCCGGGGGCTAGTAAGTATCCCCACACCAGCCCGGCGCCTCACACCTTGAGCAACTCCAAAGAAGAATAAAGTCCAACCCCTATCCAGGATTAAGGATCCAGAGTCTCGACTGTGCCTATGTAAGCCCCACCAGATCTAATCGATAGGGCTCCACCTCCCGCACCAGTTGCGGCTCATTCCCCCCCAGCAAAGTGACATTCCACGTCCCCAAAGCCAGCTTTTGCTGGTCTGTCCAAAATTCTTCAATGTGTTGTTGCTACTTTTTACTACTTAACCTCATCCAGTCAGTAACTTCCAGGGTTTATTTCATTGTCTCCACACAATATAGGTCATATGGAGAGCAAAGTCAAAATCAGTGATGGCCCTCTTGCCCCCTTTCTGTCTATTTCAGAGCATCCCTTAGATCCTGTCTACCACCTGTTGACTGACTCTACTCATAGTGAGGGGTTACTGTGTGTAATGTGTGTTACCACTTATATCCTTAGTTAATGTAACTGAGTTCTCCTCAACAGGAAAATGTAAAATTATGCTGTGTAACAGTACTGATTACTTGGACTACTGTTTTCCAATACATCCTATTAATTAAAGTAAGTCGATAATATCATCACAAACATGAGCTTTATAGATCTTGCACAACACTCACAGACTGGAATTGGAATCCTTGTATTAAATGTGTGTTGCTGACAAAGTAGAAGTTAAATGGAGGACACAAGCTGAATATGGTTAGGAGGACAGCTGATGGTTACATGAGGTTGGCATTTGCTGTTAATACATCTTATGTTTCAGTTTTCCATCAGCAAAGGCACATCTTGAATTTGTGTTAATTCCTACCTAAAAAAGGAAACCTTAATTTTAGGTCTTTTGACGGACTGTTTATTCATTGATATTGGTGAATGCAGTTACAGTAAAAATACACATGTATTCTAATGCTTCTCACAGATTATTTAATTTATTTGATTAAAAAATACATCTTTAAAATACTAAATAGATCAACAATTAATATATAAATAGTTTCACAATAAATAAATAATAAATATAATTTTAAAAATGTACAACCACTACTTATGATAAGGTGTAAGGGATATGTCTGTGGTATTCACACTCATATGTCAATCTATTAACACTTTAACTAACTCTGCAGCTTCAATTCCATTTTTGGCTTCATGCACATCACTTTGAATGTCAACCATTCCGGTTGTTGAGCAATAGCATTTTTAAATGTCAGAGGCAATAGTGTTGAACTTGCAGTGACAAAATAAAAATTCTACATTCACTTGTCATCCAAGATATTGACATGATGTCACAATCTGAAAAATCTCTGATAAAGAATGATTTACAGTCAGGAATGTTAATTTACTTTGAAATTAAAGTGCACCCAATAATGACCCACACCACACATCAGTAGCCTGTTACAGAACAGCTGACTGATTTCTACTTTACCATGTGATACTAAAATATCAAGTCAGGTTCATCCACATGCTTGGTGTAGTGGTGTGATGTTGTTGCGCCATATTATTAACAAGGCAGTGAAGCGCAAACTTTTATTTTGAAGGGTAGCGTTTTTGCTGTCATGTTTTTCTTTTTTCCTTTGAGTGTTGTTACTATAGCATGAGGAACTTGTGGTATTGTAAATGTTCATGTCATATTGGATTATTACCGGAAGTATAGTGAGTATTTTATTTTCTAAACCTGCACTTACCGCGTTGCGTCGGGTTTTACTTCCTCTTTGCTTGGTGACTTTTCCCAGAAAGGTACGCAGTTCTGCTGCTCTCTGTATTTTCATTGTTTTTGTTGTAAAAGTGAATGTAAGTTACTTAAAAATACTGGTTGGTGTAGTCACAGTGTTAATTTGTAGAACTGTTGTGTTATGTCTTTTCATGCATAAACTTGCTAATTAGAGGAGAAGTTCTTGCGGCCTGTGTGTGCTGCAGGGCTGCTACGTAGCTTGTCACGCTAGAGTGTACTGTTGAGACTGGTTGTTAACAGGAGACATGTAGTGACTTTTCTTATGGTGTTATTATTATTATTTTTATTTATTTTTGAAATAAATTTGAAATTCTTTTTGTTGATTTAATTTAATTTGCATTTTCTTTATTTTTATTCATGCTATTGTGCATAATAGGAGGGAGCAGCGCAAACACCAAGGTGCAGAGGATCTAGACCCACTACACACCGGAGGACCACCCGTTCCTGCAGCAAACCGGGTTTGACATGTTGGAGCGGGAGCTGTCCGGGATGCGTCAAGTATTAATGCCCGTCTTGACTGGGTGTCGATGTTGCTGCTGCCTCTCAGGCGCATCCCCTCAAGTCTGCGCACTTAAAATAGCATCTGAATAAGCGCCAGACTACAGACTAGGTTTTTCCTGGTCTGTGGCGGAATTGTTTTCTGAAACAGCAAAATAGCACCAGGGAACGTTTGTGCCGGAACGCGCCTCCTCTTTTCGCTGAACCACCCCCCCGGAGCGCAAGTTCATTCCCTAATTTAAGGACGTGCAATGGTCGAGGGAAAATTCCAATGTACGTCGAGTGCAAAATAGGAATTTTACAAGCGCCAGTGTACAAAGGCAATTGCGCTGAGTGCAAGATAGAGCCCACTGTGTTTCAGATTACTTATGTTACTCACCAGGCCATATTGGAGCTAATTGTAGCCAGTCAGCTCCTACTCAGTCTCCGAACCTGTCTCGGGTCCCTCACACTCCGAGAAACAAAGTAGCTCCTCTTTGGCGGAGGGCAATGTGGAGCTAAGTGGTTTTCCCTCCTGTGAAGATGATATTCAGTCTGTGTTTTCTGCTGCTTGTGAATCAGCTCCGCCAGACAAAACAATGATTTTTCAGAACACAATGAGAACAGGCAAAAGTCACGGTTTGTTTTTCACTACTGTATTAGCAGGGGACAAAGTCGACATTCAGGGGATGCTGGATAGTGGGTCCATGGCCACTTCTCTGCGTGCAGATCTGGTACCTCAATTGAGAGAGGCAAGAGTTGTGGATGGCGATTTAGTATCTCCTACAGACATTATTGGCTAGTGGGTTCTTCCGTTTTTTGGCCAATTTGGAAAGATGGAGGGGGGATGAGATTCCGGACAAAGTGGGGACAGTTAGGCTAAAGAAAGCAGTAACACTGGAGCCTATGAGTGAACATGTTGTGTGGGGCCGTCTTCCCCCAGGGACTAAATTCTCGGTTGGTAGTACTGTAGTCATGAAGCCAAGCTTGTCACGTTGCACGCCCCGAAATATACTATTACTAGTATTACTAGTAGTAGTACTATTACTGGGTAGTGAAGCATTTGTGGGGAGATGGGTGGGTTCCTGTAAAAATAATCAACCCAACTGCTTCTAAAATCATATTGCGGAGAAATGCAGAAGTGGCTGATGTCTTCCCGTGCATTGCATTGGAGGATTTTGAGGAGGGCACTGAGCAGACAGTTCACCAAATGGGAGGGAAGGTAATCAGTGGCAGTAGTCATGGCAGTTTAACAGCGCAGAGCTCTGTAAGGGGCAGTAGGGTGAATGGGAGTCCTAAGCTCAGGGATTTGGGTCTTTAGGAGTTACCAGTGGATGATTGTGAGGTTTCTTCAGTCTGGAAAGAGAAATTGACAGATTTGATTGTGAAGTATGAAAGCGTGTTTTCCAGACACAACTTGGGTTGTGGGGAAGCTACTGGTTTTTGTCATCGCATTCGGCTGACCGATGACCGCCCCTTTTGATTATCTTATTGCAGGCTCTCACCAGTCCACTGCCAGAAGTTGATAGAGACACTAGACGAAATGGAGGAGCGGGACATAATCAGGAAGTCTATAAGTGAGTATGCTTCACCCCTGGTTTTGTGCTTGAAGAAAAATGGTGACCCGAGACCTTTCATTTTCGCTGGCTGAATGCCCGCACGGTCAAAGACGCACACCCTCTGCCTCATCAGGCGGACGCGGCAATGGGAGGCAACGCCTTTTCAGTACACTGGACTTGACGTCAGGTTATTACAACATGCCTCTCCACGAAGACGATAAGAAATATACCGCTTTTTCATTACCACTGGGGCTACATGAGTACAATCGCATGCCCCAGGGTCTTTGCAATAGCCCCACGACTTTTATGAGGCTGATGCTGACGATTATTGGCGACCACAACTTTCTGTCTCTGCTTTGTTATCTTGACGATGTGCTGGTTTTTGGCAGAACAGAAAAGGAAAGCTTAGAGCGGCTAGAACTAGTTTTCAAGCGTTTGAAAGAACATAATCTGAAGCTCTCCCCAGCTAAGTGCAAGCTTTTTCAAGTTTTTAAGGCATGTGGTTTGTCAGGAGGGGATAGACACTGACAAGGTACAAGTTATACACCACATTCCAAATTATTATGCACATAGGATTTAAGTGTCATAAACATTTAATTTTTAGTTTTTCAGTTAAACTCATGGATGGTATTGTGTCTCAGGGCTCTTTGGATCATTGAAATCAATCTCAGACATCTGTGATAATTAGTTTGCCAGGTGAGCCCAATCAAAGGAAAACTACTTAAGAAGGATGTTCCACATTATTAAGCAGGCCACAGGTTTCAAACAAAATGGGAAAGAAAAAGGATCTCTCTGCTGCCGAAAAGCGTGAAATAGTGCAATACCTTGGACAAGGTATGAAAACATTGGATATTTCAAGAAAACTTAAGCGTGATCATCATACTGTGAAGAGATTTGTGGCTGACGCAGAGCACAGATGGCTTCGTGCAGATAAAGGCATAATGAGGAAGGTTTCTGGTTTCAAATCTGTAGGATTAGGAGAGCAGCTGCTAAAATGCCATTGAAAAGCAGCAAACAGGTGCCTCTGGAGTCCCGCAAACCTCAAGGTGTAGGATCCTCCAGAGGTTTGCAAGTGTGCATAAACCTATTATTTAGCCACCCCTAAACAATGCTCAAAAGCAGAAACGGTTGCAGTGGGCTCAGAAATACATGAAGACTAATTTTCAAATCGTGTTGTCTACTGATGAGTGCCGTGCAACCCTGGATGGTCCAGATGGATGGAGTAGTGGATGGTTGGTGAATGGCCACCATGTCCCAACAAGGCTGCGATGTCAGCAAGGAGGTGGCGGGATCATGTTTTGGGCTGGAATCATGGGGAGAGAGCTGGTAGGTCCCTTTAGGGTCCCTGACGGTGTGAAAATTACCTCTGCAAAGTATGTAGAGTTTCTGACTGACCACTTTCTTCCATGGTACAAAAAGAAGAACTGTGCCTTCCGTAGCAAAATTATCTTCATGCATGACAATGCACAATCTCATGCTGCAAAGAATACCTCTGTGTCATTGGCTGCTATGGGCATAAAAGGAGAGAAACTTGTGTTGTGGCCCCCATCTTCCCCTGACCTCAACCCTATTGAGAACCTTAGGAGCATCCTGAAGCAAAAGATCTATGAGGGTGGGAGGCAGTTCACATCAAAACATCAGCTCTGGGAGGCTGTTCTGACATCCTGCAAAGATATTCAAGCAGAAACTCTCCAGCAGCTCACAAATTCAATGGATGCAAGAATTGTGAAGGTGATATCAAAGAAGGGGTCCTATGCTAACATGTATCTTGGCCTGTTAAGATTTTTTTGATTGAAATAGCTTTTGATTTCTGTAAATATGATCTCATGATGCTGCAAATTCAACAAATTACCATTTTAGTTTTCTTTACAACCTTTAAAATGTTTTGATCTCTCTTGTGCATAATAATTTGGAACAGTGCATTTTGAGTTTTTTATTTTAAAAAAAAATCTGTTATCATTAGATTTGTTCAAAAAAATTTGAATTATACTCTAACGGTTGATGACTTAAAAACTTATACTGACTGTCATTTGCATCGACTATTTAGGAAAATTTGAGAAAAACATTTGCATAATAATTTGGAATGCAGTGTAGTTAGCTTGACTGAGGCTGATATTATGGAGAGTGATGGGGTCACACACTCCGCTGATTCGCTTGTTCCTTGGCATGGTAGTGTATTACCAACATTTCATTGAGAACTGTTCTGTGATTGCTAAGCCACTCTTCCAACTTACCTCAGGGTGTACACAGCCATGTGGTGCGCGTGGTAAAAAGTGGCTGAAAGCTGTATGCAGATTCGCTTCTATTGATTGGACCACGGAGTGTAGACAAGCTTTTGAGACCTTGAAACAGGCTCTTGTTGACCAAGTCTTGCTAGCCCATCCGGATTTTGCTAAACCATTTATTCTGTCTGTCAATGCATCCACCAGTGGATTGGGGGCCGTACTTTCACAGGTTCAGGAAGGCCATAATATAGCTCAGCCTGTTGCATTCGCCAGTAAGTCATGCAAGCAGAATATGCAATCTCAGGATCCTGTTTTGAGCAGAGTGCGTTTTTTTGTAAACAGAGGCCACCGTCCATCTCACAAGGAGAGAGTTCATGAATCTGGGGAGACTAACAGAACACTGAAGCAGTGTGGAAAACTCCTGATCCGGCTGGGTGTTCTTTATCGCGTTTCTAAGCACCCTGTGAGCAAAAAGAACATTTTCCAGTATGTTGTCCCACTTGCTTTGAGGAGTCAAGTGATTAAGGGTGTGCATGATGACGCTGGCCACGAGGGGCAACAACTCACTTTATGGCTCACCAGGCAACGTTTCTACTGGGATACAACGTCAGATTACGTTAATTTGTATGTCACACAATGTAAGAGGTGTGTGTTGAGCAAGGCTCCAGAACCAGAAGCCAGAGCTCCACTCATGTCCATTGTCACTACTGCACCACTGGAGTTAGTATGTGTTGATTTCTGGTCAGCAGAGGATGCTAATAACAAGTCAGTTGATGTTTTAGTAGTTACTGATAATTTCACCAGGCTGTCCCTGCTCAAATCATACTGCTAAGACAGTTGCTTGTGTGCTGTGGAATAACTTTGTTTCTGTTTATGGATTCCCGGCACGTCTTCATTCAGATCAAGGAGCTAATTTTGAAAGTGCACTCATAGCCGAGCTCCTACAGTTGGCGGGTGTTGCAAAGTCCCATACCACACCTTACCACCCTATGGCTGAGTGCTGTGTTCAAAAGCAAAGTGGCCTCAGATGTTGAACACACTGACTTTTACATATAACTGCACCATTCATGAAACCACAGGGTTCCCACCTTTTTTTCTGATGTTTGGCCACACTCCTCGTTTGCTTGTCGATGTGATGTTTGAGAGTGTTCTGTGGGATGGAGAGACTGTCAATGTTGACAAGTACGTTCAGTCTCTGGGGAAAGACCTAAGGGAGGCTACAACACTTGCTCAGACAAATATTAGCAAACAACAAGCCAAGCAAGCCAAAGTTTATAACAGAAAGATGAAGGGCTTCTCTGTTGAAAAGGGTGACAGGGTCCTGTTGGCAAACAAAGGGGAAAGGGGGAAGAAGAAATTAGCCAACCGATGGGAAAGTGCAGTGTATGTGGTTGTAAGTAAGAATGACGAGCTTCACACATATAGCATTCGGCATCCTGTTACAGGTCGGATTAGGACAGTCCACAGGAACCTGATCATGCCTGTTCATTTTCTGCTGCTGCCTTCATGGGGGGAGTCTGGTCAGGAAGCAGAGTTTTCTGCCCTCAGTACTGATCTGAGTCAAGATACTGTGGACATGTTGGGTCAGATGGAGCAGAGTGATACTCGGACCACCTGGGTATCTGACCTTTCTGAGTCTAGAGCTGATGATGAGACCGATCAGCCTGTCTTTTTGGACAGGTCTGGTGTTCGCAGTGACTTAGAGGAGGGGCAGCAGGTTGATGGAGAGGATGTCAGCAGACTTTCTACATGTGGAACAGAGGTTGAGAAAAGTGCTGAGCTACAAGCTCATGTGGACACAGAGTCAGTTGAACCAAACTCTGGCAATTGTCAGCTGTCTGACCAGTCTGTTGATGCCCACAGTGTTAGGTCTGCTGTTAGCGACTCTATACACTCAGCCAGGATTTCATGTGCGGAATCGGTAGCTGTGAGCGAGTCCCAGGCCATGGCCACTGAACAGAAGGGGGTGGTCGTGAGTCTTTCGAGAGGGGGATTGGGCACCACACTAGGTAGATTGGTTAGGCCGGTAAATAGGCTTATTCAGACTATGTCCACACAAAGGGTTAAGATTGTCACTTAAAGTGTCTGGAGGTAACTATTTTTTTTCTGGTGTATAGATTATTTTGTGGCACTATGCAAGACATTTTTTGATGTGCTACAGTTGTATTTTGTATTGGGTGTACTTTACTGGTACTATGTGTTCCGTAGCCTTGAAATGTGTATATGGCATATTTTCCTGGGGTTAGACGTGTTACTGATCACTTCATGTTTGCCTTGATCCTTAGCTTGATAGTTTTTCATAACTGGTTAGGCTGGTTTATGTTTTCGTAGTAAGGGAAATACAATTACACACCTGTAGACACTGTATGTGCAGTTTTCATTAATTTTTTTCGTGCCATCTGCTTTGCCAAGGTGAGTCATGTTCATCATATAGCGCAAAACAGTTGGGGTGAATGTAGTGGTGTGATGTTGTTGCGCCATATGAACAAGGCAGTGAAGTGCGAACTTTTATATTGAAGGGTAGCATTTTTGCTGTGATGTTTTTCTTTATTCCTTTGAGTTTTGTTACTATACATATGTCAGGGAAAATGTCGGATTATTACCGGAAGTATAGTGAGTATTTTATTTTCTAAACCTGCACTTACCTCGTTGCGTCGGGTTATACTTCCTCTTTGCTTTGTGACTTTTCCCAGAAAGTTACACAGTTCTGCTGCTCTCCGTATTGTTTATGCTATTGTGCATAATACTCCGATTTGCTTGTTGATTTTTCCCAGAAAGAGCACAGAGAGCATGTATGAGAAAACCTGTGAACACCTGTGAATGTTTCTTCTCCATAATGCAAGTATAAAGGGGAATAAATCGTGTTGAGACCATTCAGAAGTGTGTCTGAATTAATGATTGTAAAAACTATTTGGTTCGTGTCTCTCAAATCTCACATTAGCTACCTTTCATGGAAAGAAAAGACATGAAAGTATAACAGACAGCAATTTAAGAGAAACCATTTAATCTTTATTGTTTCAGCATGAATTATATCATATTATATGATTCAACACAGTGAAACACTAAGCATGCTTTACTCAGCTGCTTCTTTTCTTTTCCCTGTAAAAAACATATAAATTGTTTGTGTAAATTTGATTTTAATGAGCCTTAGGTGACAATAATTTTAATCAATTAATTTTATAGCATTAAACCTAATACTGTGTAATGGTGTGAATATAATACTGTTAAGAATCTGCTCCAACAAACAGACATAAATCAAAGAATGATGATGCTGTTTTAGTTATTGATCACAAAATGAATATATATTTACCTTGCCAGAGTCACGACTCTTTGCTCTCAGTTTGTTGACCTGGGAATCTGCAATGTCAGCACGCTCCTCAGCCTCCTCCAGTTCATGCTGGACCTTTCTGCACTTGGCTTGCTCCTTCTGAAATACAGAAAAATGTTGAAATGTTGAAAATAGCCTACTAGGTGTACTGTACATAACATAAATATGACAGTGTATCAAGTAGCCCATTGTTTAAAAATAAATGTGAGTCCTTACCGCTTCCTCAGCCTGTCTCTTGTAGGCCTCCACTCTGAGCTGCAGTTTGTTAACCAGATCCTGCAGCCTGGTAAAATGTTTCTTGTCCTCCTCAGTCTGTAAAAGAAAATATAGATTTGTGTTTAAATATATTTCATGGAAAGTAAGCCAGATTGATCTGTACTGTACATGTGTAGGTGAGCTCCTTCACCCTCCTCTCATATTTGCGGACACCCTTAACAGCATCTGCTCCACGTCTCTGCTCAGCCTCAACCTATTTCCCAAATTTCAAGTGAGTCAGACATGATGAGTTCTGCAGCACCACCTTTGACAGAATGCAATCAAGTTATACAGGGTCACTTGGTATGTGCTTCTAAATTTGGTTGTAGTTGTGATGTATGCACAAAGTACTTCAATTTATGTAAAATAGCCCATATAAGAATTAGGTAATTACTATAAATACAATCTTGTAGCAAATGGTAAAAATAAATTAACAACATTTTTGCAGACTCACTCACATATTGAATATATTTGGTGATAATCTGATTAAATTTGTAGAAGTAAGAGTAAAATATATTATTTATTATTTAATATTTTCCCCCTGGATTTAAAATAGGTGAGAAAGAACCACAGAATCTTGGGCATAAATGATCTGGGGTTTAAGCCTCTTGGTAACAAGTTACAAGGCAATATGTAATGTTTATCCATGGCCACATGATGGCGATGTTGCATTGGCTCCTTCATGGCCTAATTCCCCATGGGTTATGTTTTTCAGGATACTCTTCTATTCCATAAAGAAAAAAATGGACTGAAAAATATGTGCTCCTTGGTAAGTACATTAAAGTATATCAATGTGCTAACCTTGGTGTGTCCGAATCTGTACTCGTCATGATTAACATCAATTGATCCAAGCAACTTCTCTGAAGCCTTCTTGTTATCAATGAACTGGCCCTCAGGGATGAAACTGGCATTCAGCACCTTGTACCTTTTATAAGAAAGTTAATGGTCAGTGTGAGCAATTTCTTTTAAAAGTCTGCATCAAAGTTCTATTAGAATATCCACTGATACCTCTGCTTGAAGTCAGCATAGGGGATTCTGCTGGGGAAACCTTTTCTGCAGATTCTGATACCCTCCAGCACACCGTTACACCTGAGCTGGTGGATGACCAGGAAGTTCTCCATCAGACCTATAAAAAAGATATTTGTTAATGACGTCCTTTAATAGAATATTAAACTTAATGAAACCATACAATCAAAACAGAACCACCCCTCAAACACTTGAGATTATGGTCTCTATATACCTGGAGTCTTTGACTCGTTGGGAATCAGGCAGCGCACAAAGTGAGGATGGGTGCTCCTCAAGTTAGTCATCAGCTTTCCCAAGTTCTCCTGTTGATCCAGAAATGGCAAACAAGTTACAAACTGAGATATGTTTTTATACCCATGTTTGCAATGTTCAATTTTACACCTTAAACCCACCCTAAACTGTGAAGACACAGTCTGGATAGAACCACCCTTCTTCTTGCCTCCCTTCTTGCCAGTCTCTGTGGATGGTTTAGAGCAGACATGTTTTGTCAGAGACTCAATATTTACATGAACACATTCTCGCGTTAGGTAGGACTATACATTATCTACAATCTTCAAAATATGTTTGATTTTACTGTAGTTACTGTCATACCCTCAACAACAGGAGGATAGAGAGAACCCAGCAGTTTCACTGAGGACTTCTGGTACAGCTGAACAACAGAGTCATTCAGTGGATCCTTGTTCTTGTCCAGCCAGCCGCCGATATTGTAGTCCACGGTACCAGCATAGTGCACCAGGGAGAAGTGGGCCTCAGCCTTGCCTTTGGCGGGCTTTGGCTTCTCAAATGCTTTGTTTTTGCCAAGATGCTGGTCATACAGCTTGTTCTTGAAGGATGTGTCTGTGGCCTTGGGGAACATGCACTCCTCTTCAAGGATGGAGAAGATACCCATGGGCTTGAAAAAAGTAGAATGATGTCATACATTAAGTGAAAATAAGAACCACCAAACAGAAGGACAAAATGAAATGATTACCTTTTCAATCAGCTCAATGCAGGCAGCCAAGTCCATGCCAAAGTCAATGAACTCCCAGATAATACCCTCCTTCTTGTACTCCTCTTGCTCCAGGACAAACATGGTGTGGTTGAAGAACTGTTGCAGTTTCTCATTGGTGAAGTTGATGCACAGCTGCTCCATGCTGTTGAACTGTGAGGAGATAAATATTCAGTGTAATATCTTTCAGACAATAAGAATGATAAGAAACATCTGGTTGATACGGATGACCATCCACAAGAACATCCTCTCATAGATTAGACTTGGCCAGGGCAGTTCACAACCTGAAAACAAGGACGGATGATTTGACTGAAGTCAGTCAAATGTTTTGTGAAATGCTGGATTACTGATATACAAAAGTAGAGCTTACTTGCACAATGCAGCTGATGTTACAAACCTAAGCTAAATTAAACCTTCTAACTTTCTCACTTTTTTTTACGTATTGTAGATACACATGTACTACATGTAAATGTAGTGCTTGGAAATGCATGGAAACCAAAAAACTGATAGCAATACATATCAATTACCTGAGGCACTGTCTGTCCCTTGGTGACAAACTCATTTCTGACCTTAACTCTGGGATAGCACAGAGCCTTCAGCATGTCAGCAGAGTTCAGACCCAGCAAGTAAGCAACCTTGTCAGCATCTGAAAAACTTTAGTAATTCCTACATGCGGTCTTAGACTGTGACCTTCCATCATGATGTAAAAGAAACCAGCCAGATAAAGAACTTCCGTTGGTATTCACAAGCTATTCACTTTGAGCTGATATTAAATACTCACCCTCTGTACCATCTGGCTCAGCCTGCTCCTCACGCTGCTTCTGCTTGAACTTCATGTTACCATGGTGGAGCACAGCACCAGTCATCTTGTAGATGCTCATCTTCTCTTCATTAGTGAAGCCCAGGATATCAGTAGCATTCTGTTTTAAGAAAGGTGACCACACAAAAGATCACTTTTAAAAAATCTGTATGGCGTCCAACAGAGGATTGGCTGCAATAATCTGATCCCTATAATCCAGGTTTAAAATTGATGTCAGAAAATGAATGTATGTATTCCATACTTAAAGGACACTGAATTGTAATCATCATACAGTAACAAACCTTTGATGTGTCCCTCTTCTTGTCTCCACCAACTGAGATTGTTGCGAAATACTGGATGACACGCTTGGTGTTCACAGTCTTTCCAGCACCAGATTCTCCACTAGGTATAGACACAGACTTGTAAGGATTTTATCTATTAGATTATGTTCAGCAAAGTCAACAAATGTGAAACTTACGTGATCAAGCAGACTGGTTCTCCTTATCTGTTCAATTGGGGGAAAAAAAAATAACCATTTTTTTACTCAGCAGAAACCTCATATATTGATTAATACAACATTGTTATGGTAACAACTTACCAGTAAGCATGAACTGATAAGCCTTGTCAGAGACGTTTCTTGCCTTGAGGGTCAATTCTCTCCTTTTCCGGCTTACGGAGGTATATGGCAGCTTTGCCATAAACGGATATCTCCGTGTCCGTACTCATGGTGGTGGCTTATGTCTGCAGCAAGTCAAACAACAGCAATCTTAGACTGATGTTTTCTGCTCAAGTGATTTAACAGTGCCCACGTGCCTGGTGTTGTACTAAACAGTTAACATATTCACACCTAAAAATGGTTTTGCCTCATTACAGGTGGCCTTCAGTTGAGTTGAAGCCTTCAGACTGACAGACTGATTTGTTATTTGATTGAGGTTTGTATACAATGGGTGAACAACACCTAAATATTAATTAATTTTCGAAGCATTCTTTAGCTATAACCAATCATCCTTTAGGGGAGGTTCGAGTCTAACCCAGCTGACATTGAGCCACAACCATTCAAGCTTACATTCACACCTACGGGCAATTTAGTGCTGCCAATTAATGCAGGCATGGTGAGAACATGAAAAATTCACACAACCTGCTGTAGCTAGTTTGGCAGGTTGGAACCTAGACCCTTCTCAGTGTGAGGCTAAGCTGCACATACCTTTTGCGAAAAGAATGACATATTTCACAATCCTTTTGAAAACGTGTTTTTTGTCAGTGCAGAAAACTATGAATTGTAAAAATTTAACATACACATATTATACTGTAAAGTTACAAGGAAATTATACATTGAAAGCACAGAGTGCATCGAATAGTAATGCATATATATTTCTACTCTTATATGACACTATATTTTGTAAACTCATTTCTAAAATGAGGAAGATATTTAAATTGTACAATGCAATAGTAGATATCCTCACCACAAGCAGGAACTTCACTGGTCTACCACCACACACACTGAAGCTCCACTTGTACCCCTTATATTCAGTCTGGTTTGCTTACAAAGTAAGGCTTAAAGCAGGCTATCGTGCCAAATATGGCTGGAATGACAGCTGAGTCTTGAAGCATTTCAAATATTTAGCTGGCACTACTTTGGGTCAATTCCTTTCTGAAGTAAGTCGTTTTTTGACTTCTTTTGAAACATGGCATATATAAAAGTGGAATAATAGTTTCA